AAAAAACACCTTTTGGTTTTCAAAGATTTTCAGATTTCAGAATTGTCCATAAAAGATTACAGACACATGCAAATGGCTCAAATACTAGAAAAACAGTCAATATACTAGTAATCGAGAACATACAAATTCAAACAATCAAGGTACCAATTTTCACCCTCCCCCCAAACTTTAAATCTTGTGGAGATTTCCCAAAATACCCAGAGCACTGTATTTTAGCAGAGGGAAAGTGGGAAAAGATTTGCTCCCAGTCAGTGGCAGCAAACTCATGAATCTGAAGCATCACTTTGGGCTTTTATATATTTCCAATGAACCCATCATTGCAAAAGCATCACCACTTAAAGAATGAAATCCTTACAGTATGGGTAGTATACATTTATTAGTTTGATTGACATTGTAATATAAGTCCAACCTGATGGGCACTTTGTGGAAGAAATACAGAAAAAAAGATACACAGGATAAAAGGTATATGCCACTTTGCCATTTGCTAAGACTTTTCAGAGACAATAGCGCATTTGATCCCTACTGGTGACCAATAAGGCAGATAAAGATAGGAGTTGGCACAGGTCCATTTCACAGGTGAGAAAATGGAGGCAGAGAGCCACACTGCGGAAAGCAGTAGGGGCTCTTGACTTTTCACTTCAAGTCCAGGTCTCTGACTTAGAGCCTGATGCTCTTTCCACTGTATCCTGCCATTACCCTTAGTGTTCTTTTATAAATATCTTAGAAAAAAAGTAAATTTCTCACTTGAAAGAAAAACAAAATGATTTTGTAATATAATATGAACAGGCTTCAGAATCGAGTAGATCTGACCAAGGTCAAAACCCAACATACATTTGAGTGACTTTTTCTTTTCTTTATAAAAATCTTTATTATTGAAAGTATTACAGATGTCCCCTTTTTCCCCCATTGACCCCCTCCACCTTTTCTCCAGGCCTTCAACACACTATTATCAGTGTCTGTGGGATGGATATATATATATATATATTTTTTCCCCTCCCCCTTTGGTTAATCTCTTCACACCCTGACCCCTTACCTCTGAAATATGTCAGTCTGTTGCATGATTCAATTTCTCTGGGTCTATTTGTTTGTTAGTTTATTCTGTTCATTAGATTCCACATATGTGAGATCATGTGATATTTGTCTTTCTCTAACTGGTTTATTTCACTTAGGATAATTGAGTGACTTTTTCTTTTCGTGGTTTTTTTTCTTTTCTTTTTTTCTTTTTTCTTTTTTTTACTTTTCAAGTACAGTTTACATTCAATATTATTGACTATTAGTTTCAGGTGTATAGAATAGTGGTTAGACAGTCAAATACTTTATTAAGTGACTTTTTTAAGCTAACTTGTCAGAGATGAAATTTCTTCATCTATTAAAAAAACGAATATTTAAATTATCCTAGTACTTAAAGGATCAAACAATGAATGCATGAATAAGTGAAACAACAAACTGATGTTTCTCTCTCTGAAATCAATAAATCTAAAAAAATATTCTAGTATTTAGAATAGGACAGGGTGTTGTAACAATTAAATAACCTGAGTACACAGACAAGAACCTGTCATAAAACAGAATAAACATGCCATTCCTTCCTCTAAAGAGTGCCCACAGTGAATTAACCCCACACTCCAATTTTAGTCTTTGGTAGCCACACCACACGCCTTATTCCACCTGCTTTCAGCAGCCTATCAAATCTTTACCCACTGCCAAAGTGCCCTAAAATAATTAGAAACCACTCACATAATAGTTTTAACCAATGACAATTTAAATCACTGTTGTACTTTTTAAATAACTTCTCAATATATAATTAAACTTCAATATCCAAGCCAAACAATTTGAAGTAATGCGGACTTCCCATTTGAAGTAACAATGAAAATTTTTGCTTCTATCACCTAGAACAGTGGTCTGCAAACCTCAACTCACAAGCCACATGTGGCTCTTTGGCCCTTTGAGTGTGGCTCTTCCACAAAATACCGCGGACTGGGCGAGTCTATTTTGAAGAAGTGGCCTTAGAAGGAGTTTAAAGTTTAAAAAATTTGGCTCTCCAAAGAAATTTCCATGGTTGTCCTGTTGCTATTTGGCTCTGTTGACTAATGAGTTTGCCAATCACTGACTTAGAGCTTTGACCTCTCTCATTCAAATTCAATTACTCCCAAATAGATGATTGATTGATTTATCTGGGGGGCCAGGGTGAAAACAGGAGAGGAGAGGGAACAACAAGCACTTCTCAAATTTTTCATTTCCTCTTTAAATTAAATTTGGACTTGGAAAGCCCAAATTCCAAGGGGTGCTTTTTCAAATATTCTGTCTACTGATGTGTATGCACATCTGGGTAGCTACCTGGCCAGAGGAGAAACAGAATTTAATAAAGTTTATCTTTAGCATCTCAATGAGGAGTGAGGAGGCTGGAGGGCAGCCCTCAGAGCACAGGAAGAGGCACTTCTCATTCACCAGCCCTTGGACCTTCGCCGCTCTCTCCTTACCAGGAGGCTGTGCCCACTGCCAGAAGAGAAACGAATAAGCCCAAAGGCTGAGTAACCAGAGAACTGAAGGACATGAATAAGCCAAGGTGTGGAAAATCGTCCCTTCTGCTGCTTGGGGTATTTCGTTTCAAACGCTGCTACTAAGAAGACAGACATTTAATGAGATTCACCTACGAGGCAGGAAGTGAAAGACACTGCCACAACCCACCAGGTAGCTATCTGATCTTCCATCTGCTTCCCACCTTCTGATAAGCCCATGCCTACAACTTTAAAATGTCCCAAATTCCCTGTCTTACCATCTCAACAAGATTCCTGCTCTATTTTTCTCTCTGGGGACCAGTGGGTATAGAGGAAAGAGAATGAATGAACTTTGGAAGTAGGCTGGCTAGGTGATCAAAGATAAAGATACATAGATAGAGAGGAACACTCACCTCCTAGGGATTCTGCTTCTCTGATTCAATGCTGACTGGTATCTTAGCTATGTGACGCTGGCTCAACTGTAACTGCTCTGGGCCTCCGTTGCCTCCCTGGAAACTACAGCTTCCCAGGGTTATGAGCTATAAGTGCAAAAATGCATATAAAGTGCACAACTTGAAGCCTGGCACGTCGCAGGCAATCAACATTACTTCCCTTTGCTTTCTCCCGACTTCCCAACATGCCCAGCAAACACGAACACTGTCTTACATGTCAACGGGTGGCCAGCTATTGACTCGTGAGGCCTCAGGGCATCCTGACAAACCTGTACTCGGTTCCCTTTCCTTTTTAGATACCTTATGCTTATGATGTGTTCTCTCTCATCAAAAAGGTGACTGTGCAAAATCAATGAGCTTTTCTCACGTTCCTGGGTGCAGACCAGAGATCCATGGAAACACAATCTTCCTCCCGGGGGGTGGATTTCTCGTGTGGATGGAGGATTACATGCATATCAGGTGCTGAATTTTACTCCCAGTTTTAAACTCTTCAAATTCGGGAGCAGCTGGCTCTGTATCTCTCACGGCTGGCTACCACCTCGGGTCTCCTTTGAACCTGGTAACGCACCTACCTGTCTCAGCAGTGAAACGCAGGCTATACACGGAAATCTCCCAGCCCATCTACAATATAATGCATGTCCCTAGCTGCAGTCCCCGGGAGGAAAGGATGGCGGAAGGAAATACACAGGTCTGCTCATAAAGACTCGGGAGACAGATTATCCACGCTGCTTCCTGCCTCACGTGTTCTGGTTTCTATGAAAAAGTCAAGGCCAGAGTGACAAGCCAGTTTAAAAGCTGTCACTGGAAGCTTCTCCGGGGTGAGGAACAGCAGTGTGTGTTTTTATGGAGGAGACGGTCACAGTGGGAAGGCTTCCAGATGCTTATTTATGGGGACCTGGAGAGGAGCTGCTCCAGCTTAGAGGAGCTCCTGAATGTAAGGTTCCAGATGGTGGTAACCCCAATTGGCCCAGAAGGTATTCGTGTATGATTATTTTTTTTAAAACACTCAACGAGGTAGCAATTAAGAAGGACTTGTATGCATGCATAATAAGCATAACCAATGGACACAAAACTCTGGGGTGGGAGGGCATGCACAGGAGGGGGGGGAATTGGTAAGATATGTACACATATAATACCTTAATAAAAAAAATGAAAGTAAATAAATAAATAAATAAATAATAAAATTTTTAAAAAGAAAGGGAATGGATGGTGGTGAGGACTCCCTGGTGCCTACAAGTTGCATAAACACAAGAGTTTTGAGGCAAGGACAAGTTGCATATCCCTCTCAGGTTTCCATGAAACATTCCTGCTCTAATAGGCTCATCGTGGGCGATGACACTTTTATCATCTCCGCGGGGGCTTCCTGCCCTGACCGCAGAAGGTTCCTTTTGTGGTGACAGGGATCCTCTCGAGAGAAAGCAAACAAAAACTGTCAAGTCCACGAACGCGTCTTCCCTTTTTTTCCCCCCAAGCCTGATTTCTACAGGAACATGTGAGAAGATATCTGAAATCCCCAACCTGTTACCAGAATGCATGCAACCACTAAAAATAAATGAAAACTTGGAAAGTGAAGACATGGAAACTCGGCCCAAGGTTTTAAACTATAAAAGGACGGGAGGGGGGGGGGGGAAAGGATGGCGGCGATAGCGCACCCGGTTGGTCGGTCTCCGGTGTCACGATCTTCCGCTCGCGGAGCCTTTGAGGACAAGCGGGGCTCCGGGGAGCCTGCCTGGAGGAGGCGCCCCCGAGGAAGGCGAGGCCAGGCCGGGTCCCTGCACCGGGGACAACTCGGAGGTGGAGACACGGGGGAAACAGGTCCTCAGAGGAGGCGGCGAGGGGAATGAAGGCGGGAGCCCCGCCGGCGGGAAACGGAGGGATCGAATCCGCCCGGGCCGCCCGAACCGCCCGAAGTTCAGCGCCGGCACCGGGGGCCGAGCCCGGACTAGAGCGCGCGGGGCGCAGCGGGGCGCAGAGGGGGTTGCGATCTGGATCCCTCGCCTTCTCGCTCCCTCCCCCCCTCCGCCGCGAGCCCCAACCCCGGCGAGAAACTCACCCGGGGCCACGAGCGGCGAGCTCACGGTGCCCGCCACCAAGACCGCAGCGGCGAGGACGGCGAAATCCGGGAGTCCCCGCGAGGCCATCGCCGCGTCCCTTCGCCCTCTCCCCTGGGGCGCCGCGTCCCGGGACCTGGCGGACCGCGCAGGCTGCTCCAGAGCCGGCGGGCGGGCGCGCGGACTGGCGGAGCTCGGCCCCCGCGCGCGCGGCGGACCCCGCCCGGGCCCCGCCCCTCCGGCCCCACCCACCGGGGCTCCGCCCTGCGTCTCCGCACCCAGCTACGTGGCCCCGCCCACCGCCGCTGGCCCCGCCTCCCGCTTGCTAGTTTTCTGTATGGTCACAGCTTCAACGGCCCGATTCGGAAAGGCCCCGCCCCCTATTCCCCGCCCACAGCGTCCAGGCCACGCCCATTGGGTTCAGGTCACGCCCCCTCTCGCCTCCCCGCTTCCTTTCTGAGCCGGGTTTTACCGCAACTGCGAGGAGGATTGCGCGGGAGCCCAGGGCAGGGGCTGAGTCAGCTTACCCGCCCAGGCTCTGGTACCGGGCGGGCGTGGGAAAAGGAAAACAGAGGGTCGGGAAGCTCTGGATGCAGACATGGCCAGCATGGGCGTGGGCACGATCTTTTTTTTCCTCTGGTGGCATCTCTATTCAGCTGGCATACCTACCCCTCGGTGCTGCTCTGGATGTCAGATTCCACTGTTTGAAAATTGAGAGAAGGCAAATCATTTAAATGTCTTCCTATCTCTGCTTCCATTTAAGCTACTCCTATTGCAGGGGTGGGGTGGGGGTGACCTGTACATACCTCCAGGAATAAATCACCTTTTTTAAAAATTGTTTGCTACTCTACTCCTTGCAAATACATCCACAAAGTATTTCTTCTAGTGCTTAGTCAGTGATTATCTCTTCATATCCTTACTAGAGGCCTGGTGTACGAAATTCATGCAAGGGGGAAAGGGGAGCTCCTCAGCCCCACCTGCAACCTCTTGTAATTGGGGACCCCTTGGGGAATGTCCAACTGCTGGTTTAAGCCCGATCCTAAAGGGACCCCTGTGGGATCAGGCCTAAACCGGCAGTTGGACATTCCTCTCACAATCTGGTACCTCTGGCTCCTAACCCCTCTGCCTGCCTGATCACCCCTAACACCCCTGCCTGCTGCCTGATCACCCTAACTGCCTCTGCCTCGGCCCTTGCTACAGCAGATTCATCCAGAAGGGTCGTTTGGCTATCTGGTCTAGTTAGCATATTATGTTTTTTTTTTTTTTTTATAATCTATAGATAATAAATTTAATAAAGCTCAATGATAGTATCCCCATTTCACAGGCTGGGAGTAAACCCATGATGGCCAGGCCACAGGAACAAATTGGAATTAGCTCATCTTCATTATGTTTGCTTCCTGATGGATTACTGATAGCATACACTAAGGGGTCAGAAGTTATTTTTCAAGTTGAATTGTCATCCCAAGCACTGATCTTAGATCCTGTCTCTGAGTAGTTACTTCTTATTTCACTGTAGAGACTTCTGAAGCAGGGTGGCCAGGCCTTGAGAAAATACTAAGAACATGAATAAGGCCATGGAGTGGGAACTGGGGGTGTTTACAGAATGGAGCACTTCCTTGGCCTGAGGGACAGCCTTTAATATTCAAAGGACTTCTTATCTTCTCTCTGAGTCCTCCATGCCTTCTACTAGGCCCTTGCAAACATTTGCACTAATGTGGGAATTGCTGCTGACAAGAGGCTCTACCCCTGCAGATGGCTGGGCTGAGTGATGAAGCCTCTGCCCTTTGAAGTCAAAGGCAGGCACTGTATGTTCTGAGCACAGTTGTCCTCACATCCTGCAGCCTGGCTGGTGAAGCAGTTTTATAACCAACATAAAAACAGAATGGCTGCAGAGGAAAGAGGTCAGTGTAGGCTTCTCACCAAAAAAGGAGAGAGCCCTGTGCTTAGAATTTACACTGTAAATTGTAAGAGGTAGCCAGAACCAGACATATAACTTTGCAGAGCCCAGTGTAAAACCAAAACACAGGGCCTTTTGTTCAAACATGAAAAATTTCAAGACGGCAATAGTGGAGCATAAATCAATTATGGAGCCCTTCTCAGTGTAGAGACCTGTGCAACTGCACCCAGAAAGCCAGCCCTGGCTTGGGAACTAAAGATGCAAAATGCTTGGACCAAAAGATCTATTCCAAATGTAAAATATCATTTTAAAACTAATGGTGTTTCACTCTTTCCTCAGAGACTGAACTTTCAATTAAAAAGGGAAGATCAGCCTGGCCAGTGGGGCTCAATGGTTGAGCATGGACCCATGAACCAGGAGGTCCAGGTTTAATTCCAGTCAGGGCACATGTCCAGATTGCTGCAGGCTCAATCCCCAGTAGGAGGTGTGCAAAAGGCAGCCAACTGATGATTCTCTTTCATCGTTGATGTTTCTATCTCTCTCTCCTTCTCACTTCCTCTCTCTGGAATCAATTTTTTTAAAAAAATTTTTAAAGACAAAATCATTGTTAACAACATATTTGAATTGGATGTCTGCTGTGACTTTCCAAAAATAAAAATGCAACCCAGTATCTAAAACTGGAGGAAATCTCAGTAATCATCTACCAAGCCCCTTATTTTATAGTTGAGGAATAGTTAAGTGGCTTGCCTGACATCTCATACCTAGTAAGAGCCAGGGCTGGAAACCAAGTTGCTGAAATTTAGCTTCTCAGACTTTTCCGTAACACTTGATGCTTGACACTCTATAGTTATCTTATACTGTCACACAACCCCAAATACTTGCATTTGCACATCTTGCTAAAGAAAGGGAGAAAGGAACGACTGAGGAAGGAAAGGAAAGAAGGAAGGAACAAAGGAACAAAGGAAGGAAGGAAGGAAGGAAGGAAGGAAGGAAGGAAGGAAGGAAGGAAGGAAAGAAGGAAGGAAGGAAGGAAGGAAGGAAAAAAGGAAGGAAGGATAAATAAATATATTAATTAATTAATTAATTAATTAAGGAGCTGAAGCTTAAATTAAGTCTGTACTTGCAACTACAGACTTGTTTACACAATTTAAAAGCCTCAAATATGCATATTTAAAAGCTTTTGCTTACTATTTAATAGAGGCCCCGTGAACAAAATTTGTGCACTCAGGGTGTGTGTGTGTGTGTGTCCCCTCAGTCCGGCCTGTGCCCTTTCACAGTCCAGGAGTCCTCGGGGATGTCTGACTGATGGCTATAGGGAGAGGGCCTAAGCCATCAGTCAGACATCCTAAGTGCTACCCTGGAGGTAGGAGAGGCTCCCGCCACCACTGCTACACTCACCAGCCATGAGCCCAGTTTCTGGCTGAGCGGTGTTCCCCGTGTGGGAGTGCACTGACTACCAGGGGAAAGTTCCAATATTGAGTGTCTGCTCCCTGGTGGTCAATGTGCATCATAGTGATGGGTCATTCCACCCGTTCAGTTGATTTGCATATTAGCCTTTTATTATATAGGATTTTAAACTAGAGGCCTGGTGCACAAAATTTGTGCATGGAGGGAAGGGTAGTCCCCTCAGCCCAGCCTGCATCCTTTCCAATCCAGGACCCTTGGGAGGATGTCCAACTGCCAGTTTCTGCCCAATCCCAGGGATAGGGCCAAAATCATCAATCAGACATCTCTCTCACAATCCAGGACTGCTGGATCCTAACTGCCCCCCCCACCGCCACCACCACCAGCCTGATTGCCCCCAACTGTCCCCCCTGCCAGCCTGGCCACCCCCTCTACTGGCCTGCTTGCCCTTCACTGACCCCTTCTGCCATCCTGATCACTCCACACAACATGCTGGTCAGTAGTTTGGTTGTCCCTCACTACCTCCCCCTGCCAGCCTGGTCACCCCATGCAGCCTGATGTTACTGTGAGGGCATCATGACCAATTTGTATATTACCCTTTTGTTAGTATAGATTGGCCAACAATTCCTATTCCATGAAAGTTATTTTCTATATTATGAAGGAGTTCTCTTATTTCTTCTAAGGAAGTAAAAATTGACATCACAAGACTAAATGATCTTTCCATTACTTCAGAAATAAGTTTAAAGGATAGTAGGTAGAAATCATTGCAACAATACTATTGTAGTAGCTGTCTTTTACTGACAGTGTGGATTTAGCCTGATCCTGTGGTGAGCACCTTTCCTGTGTTCCTTCATCACATCCTCACAAGTTCATAATTTGGGAAGTATTGATATAGATCCTCACTTCAAAGCTGTGGATGGAGACCAGGATTTGAGGGATTCAGGCACTTAACCTATGTCACACAGCTGCTCGCAGCACTGCCAAGACTCCAGTTCAGGATCAGTTTGCTACAGGCCTGCACTTCATCTACTTTTACTGTTCTGCCTCTAAAATGCAGAATACTGGTCAGTCAGCCCTCCTTTTCCAATGTAAAGTCTTGTTCTGTCATTGCATGCTTAACCTAGCCTTTGTGAATTCTGTCAATAATTACTTACACATTTTTTATCTCCACGGAGAAAAATGTAGCTATGGGAATGGGTGATGAATAAGGTTCAGAACTTTGTTGATTTTTTTTTAAGGGGGTGATTTTCCAGTTCTCTCTAAGAATTTATTTAATTATTCCCCTTAGTAAAAACCTTTCCTGTTTTGCTCTGTGCTGCTAAGGTGGTAATTTTCATCACCATCGTTTAAATGTGTAAGACTCAGTCAGCTGCTATTTACTCTAATGTTGAAAAACACTTCCGCAGAAGGTCTCTGTAGAGTTTCTTTTTCCTGTGATTTAGATGTAGTCATCTTTATTTTTGAGAGGTTATACCCAGGAGAAAAGCTTGCAGTTCTTTAAGAAAATACATTTCCAGGGGAATAAAATGATAGTTTATAAAACCTCGGGTTATTTTGACCTAACATGTATGTTCTGCGTTCTTAGTACTAGGCTGAGGGTAGGAGGTTGGAGAGGAGGGTCACTGCACATTCAATTAGAGACCCTATCCTTGCTTACAGAAGTTTTTTCAATCTTCCTGGGGAAAGAAAACAACAGCAGAATGAAATGGAACTAATCAAAGGCACAGGGGTCATTGAATAAAGCCCTGCCAATGGTACTCTCTGTGCCTTTCAGCAGCTTCTCTTCCATCTGTCTTCGTACCCACAAAATTCAGGGGGGGCAACTGGCTGGTTTCTTAAAGTTCCCATCCAACCCTTAGAGTTCACACCATAGTGAGTAACCAAAGGATAAGGTTGA